GGTCAAGGTGGAGTGTTCCTTGAATTGGGGCACTCTTGTCCCTTCGGCGGGCCCCTTTTTTGACTTAAAGTCATGGCTTGTACATGCTCCTCAAAGGTCTACAAGTCCTTTCCGAAAGCTGGAAAATAATAGATATGCTGTTGGAGACCCGCTGAAACGCTACCCGAATCTGCCTCGCCCTCGGAGCTGCTGGAATTTAATGTAGCTCTTCGCGGGGCGGTACGCAGATCTCCATAAATTTCCAAAGTTGCATCCAAAGTTGCCTACTCATTGATAGTGAAAAGGTAAAATATAATCACCTAAATATGCTTACAAAGACAAGAGCAACTCATCTGAGCAAGCCAATGCGAATTTTGTTATGCCAGTGCACAAAACAAACATGCAATGACGGTGTAAATTTTTAGTCTGCCCATTATTATTATGTTGGGCTAATTATGTTAGGCAAGACACCCCTATCAATATTGTTTGACTTGTTGATAAGCTATAAGTAGGTCATTTGCTACAGGGGCGGCTCAAACCCGATGGTGGCCTAAGGCCAAACTCAAACTAGAGGCCTTAAAAAAATTATAAAAATATTTTTATTTTAAATCTATTTTTCTATTTTTTTTAGATGCAAACTTGTTAATAATTTTTGTGTAGTCAATATCTTCTAGTAATTCTTTTTCAATCGATAATATAGCCAAACCACTTAATCTTTCTTGAGACATTGTCGATCTTAAATAAGATTTTATTATTTTTAATTTTTAAAAACTTCTTTCAGTTGAGACAACTATTACGGGAATTGTTAACATTATTCGATAAGCAATGTAAGCATTTGGAAAAGAATAAAGTCTTTTTATTTGATTGAGTATCTCAATTAGAGTATTGTCTTCTACTTTTATGATTTCCCTTAACACTTTTAATTCAGAAAATAAGTCTAAACCGTCAATATCGGAGTGAGTATTATGTTTTAAGGAACATTCAAGATTAAGACAATATTTTTTTAAAATTTTCATCATCAAATGATCTCAATTTCTTCCCACTAAATAGAAAACCAAAAATATTTTCATATACTTCAAATTGTTCAAATCTATTTTGAAGTGAAAAGATGGCTTGGTCTACTA